AGGCCGGCCTCCCACCTCAGTGTCCCACCCCCGCCTCCACGCACACCCACGGCAGTGGATTTGGCAGCCCCTCCCACCAGGCCCCTTACCTTCTCTCCCCCGGTGCTGAGCCTCAGTGGGGGCAGGAAGGGGTCATAAAGAACCCTCTTCAGCTCCACATCCACGGGGCTCTGCCGCTTCCCCACTGCACACAGACTCCAGGCTGCGTTCACCAGGCCCCAGAAGGGAGGCCCTGGGGGCAGGGGCAGGGCAGGGAGGAAAGGGAGTCAGAAATGGGGACTGGATCCCAATGTTGGCATCTGCTGAGAAGGCCGCGGTCTGGGCTCCTGGATCCCAGGAGAGGAAGGGCTAGGAATCTGCACTCCTGGGTCTGAGGGAGAAGGGAGCTGGGATCCAGAATCCAGGGTCCTAGAAGAATCCTGGAGGAGTTTCTTAAGACCCTCTAAACAGTGGTTCTCAACCTTCCTAATGCCGCAACCCTTTAATACAGTTCCTCATGTTGTGGTGACCCCCAATTTCATTGTTACAAATTGAACATAATTAAAGCATAGTGATTAATCACAAATACAATATGTCATTATATATGTGTTTTCCGATGGTCTTAGGCGACCCCTGTGAAAGGGTCGTTCGACCCCCAAAGGGGTCGCGACCCACAGGTTGAGAACCGCTGCTCTAACACCTCCAATCCTCTCCTTGATCAAACCTATCTTAAATGAAGTCATTGGGAGAAGGAACTACAACTCCCAGCAGGCTCTAGGGCTGCCAGCCTATTCGTCCAATGCCGGACTGCCCCCGTGCCTATGGGAGTTGTAGTTCTTTCAGTCTCCCCTGCAGCACAGCTGGGTAATAATGTACCGGGGAGAGGAGTTGCAAGAGAGGGCTGGACCCGGCAGGGGAGGGGGCCCACTGAACCTCTGATTGCCAGCGGGAGCCAGGACCTGCCTGCCTCTTTCCCTGCAAACACACACACACACACACACACACACACTCTTCCACCCCCACACGCTCTCCTTCCACTCACTCCCACTCACTACTTGAAATGCGCATGTATAATGTCCCTTGGTGAGCCACTGGGGTTCAGAGGCTGGGCTGGACTCCTGGGGGAGGAGGGGAGGGGCTGGGACTCCCAGGGAGGAGAGGGTTCCGGGTCCCAGGAAGGAGGTGCCGCGGCCTGGACTGCTGGGCCCCCTCCCTGGCTGCACCTGGCACGAAGTTTCCCTGGAGATTCTCCTTGTAGCTCCACCAGTCCGCGGGGGTCAGGTGCGGGTCCGATGTGAGCTGCGGAGAGAGCCGCCTGAACCCCTCTCCTTGGCACCCCCGCCCCGCCCCCGCCCCTCCCTTCGGGGCTCCTGCCCCGACCCCAGGCCTTACCTGCCGCCCCCAGTGCAGCCCCGAGTACCAGCGCTCGAGGGGCGCTCAGACTGGCTGCACCGCCCATCCCCGGGAGGCCTCGGGGCGACCCCTTCCCAGCGCCCGGCCCCTCTCTCGGCTCTTCCCTCTCTTCTCGGCGGGACCCTGTCCCTCCAGGACTTCCAGCCTTCCTCTTCTCCCCACAGGGAGTCCCGGACCCCCCAAATGCCAAGCCAGCCAGGGACGGAGGTCCCCCAACCCACTCCTCTGCTCCCCTCGGTGTCTCTCCTCCTTCCTCGCCTTCCCCCAGCCCTCCAGTCTCCCGCTGCCTCCTGATCTCTCTACCCCTCTCTCTGCCTTCTGCTTCTCCCTGAGGTTGCCTCTCGGTTGCTAATCCACACCCCCTCTTGGCTCTTTTCATGAAGCTCCCCCAGGCCACCTAACTCCATGTCCCCATCCTCCCCTCACCTCCTCCTCCTCCTCCTCCCTCTCCCCTTCTCTGCTCCTGCCTCCTCTTCCCTTCGCTCCCTCTTCACCTCCTCTCTCCCCCCTGC